CTTCAGAGCAGACGCCCATCCCCAATCTGGCTTACCGCCGGCCATGACACAGTGCCCATGAAGTGGTGTTCGGATGTGCGGCTCCTGCTCTGATGTTACCATCAACTATCACAGCCTTAAGTTGAGTGCCTCTTCCCATTCCCATCTCAGTTCAATTTCTTCCCGTCTCATTTAAAGTGATAGCTCGACTTTGTGCGGTCTTTTGATCCTTCGGTCTTTTGTCTTTTGATCCTTTTGAAACGGTCTTTTGATCCTTCACTGCTACTTGCGCTAGCATGAAGCCCATCCTTTCATTGAACTCCAACATGAACCGTCAGAGCCAATGTTCCAGATTCGTGGAGTTTCGTTCCTGTTCCCCGTATTTTACGATACACCTCATCAATCATCGTCATTCACCTTTTCATAGCTTCTCTTGGCAGTTCAATTCCCTTCCTATCTATCCTACGTCGCATTCCTCCCAAATTTAGAGGCAATTCCGCCCAACCCACCCAAGCTGCTCGCAAACGTAAGAGCTACCGAATCAACGCCCGCTTTTTTGTCGGAGCGATTTTCAATCTGGTAGGGCTTTCTCTACATGCTGACGGGCTGACAAAGAATCCTAGCAGCATCGTCAGCCGGCGCGTGACGTCACAGACCAAGTAACCTTCTGGTCAATTGACGTGACGTAGGGAGAATAACGGGCCGTGGTTGGTGCTGACAAACGTGTTGACAGATCGAACGCGGCCGTGACTTTAACGCGAAACCCCACGACCTAGAAAATCCCGAACTTTTCGTTTGTCTTGAAAATTTCTGTAAGCGAACAACGCCCAAGGTGACGAGAGCACCTCTTGAGTTATCTCGGAACATAAAAAACTATGATCTTTTGATGTCACCACGTCAGATCGTGTTTTGTCGTGTTCAGATATAACGAGTGCTGGTTGGTAAGCAGGGTAGCCTAACCTAACCGGTTGAAATCGATATCACTACGTTTGGGTTGAACGGCTGCACATTTAAGTCAAGGTTTTAAGGTGAAAAAGAAGGGCGACTGAACTTGGGTTTAGGTCACACTAGGTCATCTGATGACCTTCCGCGGGCAAATAAATAGGATCCATTTCAAGATAGCACATGTAACGCGGAGTCCATTGGGGTCACTTGCTTGATCGAATGAAGCATGTTTCCCAAGACAACTTAGATATGTCAGGAAATGATCAATTTCTGGGGCAATACATTATGTCCCGTTAAATTTAATACAGAACTCAACTACCTGAAAGATTCCGACTCCCTTGCCTTTCTCAAAAAACGCCACAAGTGTGGAACAACTCAGATAATGAGGGCATTCCTTCTCCTTTCACGTAACATGAAAAACTGTGACCTATAGACGTCACCACATTCCAGATCAATATTTGTCATACACAAATATAACGCATGATGAGGCATCAACAAGAGAATGTAACACTGTTAACACTAACACTGGCTAACACTGTTAAAACCGAGCTGGCCCTGATTTCAATGAATTTTGAAATTTGCAACAATTGAATTTAAGATTCGGGTGAAGAAGTGAGGCGACTCAAGTAGAGTTCAGGTCATGTCAGGTGACGGGATGAACTTTCACAGGCAAGTATAAAAGTAACAGTAAAAGTACAGCAAGTACACATTCCAGACCGAAAATGTAATGACGAGTCGAATAACGCTAACTGTTCGATCGTATGAGACCTGCTTCAAAAAATAAACTCATCAATGTCTGAAATAATCAGATATGACGAATGCATTAATTGCTCTTGACGCCAACACGGATCTTAACGATCTGGAAAGTCCCGAACCTTTCGAATTCTATCAAAGCTTCAGCATGTGTACAACATTCTAAACAATAAGGGCATCTCACGACTTTCGACAGGGCATTAAAAACCGTGACCTCCAGACGTCGCCGCGTACGGTATTCCAGATGAACAAGTATTCCACATAGATATTCCATATAGATATAGATATTCCACATAGATATTCCACATGAACGAATATAATACGGGATACTGGTTAGTATCGTCAACTGCCATGTTGAATTCGGACAGCTGGTATTTATGCTATCGCATGTGAACGGTGTGACTTCATTCGCGTGGTTTTCCATCACAAGTGGATTTGGTGAGGCAATATGTTGGGTTGAGGCTGTTCTGCGATGGCACTACGCCTGCTCAGTTAAAGTCATCGACTGCTCGAAGCTCGAAGCGACTGCTCGAAGAAATGGTTAGACAAGGCATCATCGCCCCCTTGGGTGACGAGCCATCAGATTGGTGCCATCCACTGGCGCTGGTCACAAAGTCTAATGGAGGAGTACGGATATGCGTTGACCTCACCAAGCTCAACAAGTTTGTAGGAAGGCCTCTGCACCCAACCTCTAGTCCAAGAGAGGCCGTCTCTGGTATCCCCGCAAACGCGAACATCTTCTCCACGTTGGATGCCAAGTCAGGATATTGGTAGCTCCCTCTTCAAGAAGGCAGCCAGCACCTCACAACGTTCACCGCGCCCTGGGGCGCACAAAGTTCCTCCGAGCGCCCATGGGCCTGGTCTCAACAGGGGACGAGTACTGCCGACGTGGAGATCAGGCTCTCCAGGATCTGGACCACGTCGTCAAGGTGGTCGACGACATACTTGTTTACAATGAGGCAATCGAAGACCACGTAGACTGTTTACGAGCTGTTGTCACACAATGCCGCCAATATGGCATCACGATCAACGAGAAGAAGTTCTGCTGCGCACAGGAAGAAGTCTTCTTCTGTGGCTTCAGCCTGTCTTCGGTCGGGAAGGAGATCAACTCGGGCAAGATCACAGCCATCACCAACTTCGCAACGCCAACCAACATCACCGTGCTGAAGTCTTTCATGGGGCTCGCTCAGCAGTTCGGAAACTTCTCCATCGATATATCATCCGCTGCAGACGCGCTTCGTGGTTTACTGAAACCTTGACACGCTTTCGTGTGGACACGGGATCACAAGACAGCCTTCAACGACGTCAAGAAGGCTCAGGCATCACCGCCTGTGCTGGCTCATTGCGATCCGCATCTTCCGACGGTTTTTCAGACCGACGCTGCTCGTCTGAAAGGGCTCAGATACGTCCTGCTACGACAGCACGGCGATCGCTGGCGCCTAGTCCAATGTAGGTCCAGGTTTCTCTCTGACACCGGGCCACGCTACGCAACGGTGGAGTTGAAGCTCCTGGCAGTGGTGTGGGCACTGAAGAAATGCCGCATGTTTTTGCAGGGCCTGCAACACTTCAGAGTCATCATCGACCACCGGCCCTCGATACCGATCTTGAACGACTACACCCTGGATGCCGTCGAAAACCCACGTCTCCAACGTCTGAAGAAGACCAGTCTCTACAACTTCACAGCCATCTGGCAAAAAGGCAAAGACCATGCCATCCCCGATGCACTGTCACGTGCTCCTGCTGAAGAACCGACGCCTGAGGACAACCAGCTCGTCTAGTCTGTAGAGCACCATGTCCATTGCTCGTGGTTTCCCATCCTCCCAGGAGATGCTGCCACGGTCCTTACTCCCATTCTGGGACGTTCGCCACGAACTTTCGTCCCACGACGGCCTAGTTCTGAAAGGCTGCCGCATCCTCATTCCGCGTGGTTCCCGGAAGGTCACCATGGAAGCACTTCACGACGCTCACCAGGGTATCGAGCGCACCAAACGACGAGCACGCCAAACTGTCTGGTGGCCCGGCGTGAACAGCGACATCGCCAACACTGTGGGCAATTGCAGTACCTGCCAAGAGCTCCGTCCAAGTTTGCCTCAGGAACCGATGGCCACCGACACGCTGCCATCGAGGATTTTTGAAGATGTCCCTTCCGACTGCTTCTCTCACGGTGGCAGAGACTTCTTCGTCTACGTGGATAGACTGTCTGGCTGGCCAGTTGTCTATCAACTCCCACGGGGTGACACAACAAGCCGTCAGATCATCAGAGCCCTCCGAGACGTCTTCGTCAGTCTTGGAGTCCCCGTCAGACTCAGGACAGATTGAGGACATCAGTACAAGAGCCGTGAAGTCGCCAACTTCCTGAAGCGTTGGGGAGTACTGCATGTCATGTCGACTCCGTATTACCCACAATCCAATGGGCATGCGGAGGCGGCAGTATAGGCCATGAAGCACCTGGTGTCGAAGACGGTGACTGATGGCTCTACCGACAACGACAACTTTTACCGAGGACTCCTGGAACTGCGAAACACGCCTCGAGCCGATGGACATGCTCTGGCTCAAGTGGTCTTCGGCCATACCATCGGCTCCTGTGTTCGCGCTCATCACAGCGCCTTCGCTGCTGAGTGGTTGGAGCAAGCAGAGGAATGTGACTCCAGGGCAGCAGCGTCTCTCCGCCGTGCACAACGAATCGGTGTCAAATCAAGTCTACCGTGATTTTGGCCAGATACTGCTGTAGTGCAAACATTTGCCTGCTTGTTCAAGACTAATTCGAAGTATTCCACGAAAATCATACCAGCTGGACACCCCACATAAGTCTAACACAACAGACGGCACGGGATGCATGAGGTCAGCGTTCGGTGCTCAGAGGAACCGTCGCCGGTGATCCCATGGCGACACAGGCCAGACGACCACTGATGTCATATTGGGAGCATTCGGCGGCAAATGCCTGTCCCTTTGACCAGATGCGGTAAGAGAAGCCCTCCTGGGTATGGCTATCTGCGGCCACGCCAGGCTGATCGTCACACGACGACCCGAATTTGATGCTGCCGTTAAAGGAACCCAAACAGTCGCCCAGTGCTGCAGCCTTGCAAAAAGAGCTTTACCACTGTACCAGGTGTATTACTCTGCGGTTTACATAGGGGGGTAGGCCCTTCTCCGACCTTGGCTCGAGGGGGGGGGGCGATAACTGATGATGGCCACTGTTCGCGGAGATCGAGCTGCAACATCTCCTCCAATGATATGTGAGCTTTGCGGTCAGCGTGGGCGTGGCTTCACAGTCAGCACCGCTCCAGCCAATATAAAGCTGGTCGGCCCATGACCACAGGCATCACAGAAACCAGCGAGTTCAGCCATGAAAGTCCTGGTGAGTCCTCTGCTTACGATGCTTGCCGAAGATGTGCATTACATTATGCTGTTTAACTTTATCGGGAGAAACGGTATATTGAGCCACGCATCAGATATCGTATACACAACTCGCTTGTAACTGTTCGCATGCTTTTAACTGCAAATGGCTGCTGTAGATCACAATTTCGCCGATAAGGATATATGTGCCTTAAAACGTTGTCATTGGATTAAGTCATGGGACGTTTTTAGGACGCTAGAGTCGATGCCACATCTGCCGTGTCAGAGTTGTCGCTGTAATGAACTGCGTGACTCACTTGGGATACTTGCACGCGCCACAAGGTGGTGTTGCTGATCCATGCGTGTGACCTTGATAAGCAAATCTTGTGTACGTTTTTTTGTCCCTTTCTCTTGGTTTTCTTGGGTATTTTCCGTGATACCATCTTCCGTACCTGCTCTTGCCTTTTTGGCTGCGGCACTTTTCTTAAATTACTTGATACTTAGCCTCATGTTCGTCATATCTAGCCGTTGGTCCTCGTTTTTGTTTTATCCGGGAACAGGCTGCACGTGCCAGTCACGAGTGGGTCGAAGGGCCCCTGGTGGGGGCCCCGTCCGAGCGGCAGACACATGCCTGTAAAAGGGTTCCTGTACGGGCTAAATCTTGGAGTTTGGATCCCCAGATGCATATGGTCCTGCCCCACCGATATCCATCCTTCTGCATCTCACAGCCCTAAAATGGCCTTTACTGGCCGAAAAGGCTCTAATCCAACTAACAAAGTAACCGAAGTTGCCGAGCCATACAACTAGCAGCGCAATGTGCTAGTCAATTGCCGCTCATCGTTTGGACATTTGGCGCTGCATAACTGCAAAACACGAGTGGTTAAACAGCCGCATTGTCTTGGCCATGGGTACAGCACGGTGAATGCCGTGTGGTTTTCGCGTGACTTTCTATGATCTTGCACATGCCGGGTAAGAGTACCATAGGCGGTGGGTAATGGGGTACGCAAGTCCACGTGCATTAAGTTCGGAAGCAAGATGATTCGAAGTCTTAAAAAGGACGCGGCTGGAACAGCAGGGAATATGATGGGTAGCAACAAATGGGTAGCTCAGTTCAAAACCACTTACAAACTTGGAATAGTACCTTTAACAGAAGTGACTTTCAGTTGCAAAGATATATCGCTAAATCCTTTCTTTTATTAGGTCAATGTCACCGTTATCTGTCCGTGCGTTCCTTGCCATCTTGCAGATGACAAAGCGATTCCCTCGTTCAGGTCGGCATCATTGACTTAAAAAAAAATCCGTCAGGTTTTTTCTGCGATATATTTTCAGCAGCAACGTCCTATTTATGGCATTGCCCTTTTCTTTCAATTATTTTTAAAAGCAAATGTTAGGTCCACCTTGTCTGTTTCAGGTGGTCATGTGCGTTGTCCTGGCCGTTGCGGCTGCCGGCCACCACTCGCACACCGCTGGCGAGCCGAAGAACCAGGGACAGCCGGACGCGCTCCAATACTGGATGAATTTGCTTTCCCCCTACGCCAGATATACTAGTGCTTTCTTGAGAAACATCCCTGGCTTCGCCCCGGGCGGTGACCACCATCAAGCCTACGGTCAAAACGCCAATTACGACGCCAGCGTCCTCTTCACTCCTGTTGTTGGCTCGTTTAGCTACTTGGACCTCCGTGGTGTGAACCGGACGGTCAATTTCTCTGCGGACAGGTCTGGCTTCCACATAACTGTGGACCCCCACACGGAGGTGACCACCAGCTATGAAAACAACCACGACTAGCGCGGCGCTCTCTGAGCAAGCCCGCCTGTAAGACGGGGCCGCTCTGGGTAATGGTAAAGTACCTGCCCTGCCAAGTACCTGCCCTTCGGTGTCCACTGCTTCCGGCGCTCCCGTCACGTTCCAGGGCACGCACGGCCCGGAGGGCGTATTTTACTCGTAGCGCTCTATTCACCCCGACCCTTTCCTTACCTTCGCCTGTTTTGGTAAGCGTTCTGTGCGCTGCTCACTTGCGGGCAAATGCGAAATTTGCATCTCTGACTCGCTCCCAAACGTTCTGGTTGTGTTCATTTGCCGTTACACCAGAGGCCAAGAGTGTTTGGTGCATTCTCTCAGCTTGATGCCATGGTCCGTATTTACAGCTTACCGAGCTCGGTTGGAACGAGTGGTATAAAGATGTGGATCATTTTTGACGCCATACAAAATATACTAGGCAGCAGTAGCATGGTTTAATTACTGGAGGGTTTGGGTGGGGTATGAGTGGGGATAGGGGTGCGGGGCAAGGGTCGAAGAAACGCGTCCTAAGTTTCGCATGATAGGGTTGTGTCTCCTACATTTTTGCCCGTGCACTGCATATTTTCACCTACTCCCACTCAAGATACCGTTTTTGGATCAGGCTGTCCCCGGATTCCAGTTTGACCGTCCAGTCTCAGAGAGATGGCCGCATCCATGCTCGAGAGCGCTGTAATACCGCTTGTATAAACACTGAAAGCATTTTCACTGCACATCGCAAACAGCTGTTTAGCATCTACATATGGTGTCAAAACGAATGGTCTTTTCGAAATCACTTTCGGAAATATCTGGTGGAGGGCTCACCGTTGGACGTCAAACGCTTCCGTAGATATCCGGCTATGAAACTCCTCGAGCGAAGAGCTCCCAGCATCGAACGGAAATTAGATCATGCGCTTTTCACAAAACGGCATACATCGAATTCACCTGTGGAGTGAACGACTTCACGAGTTCACTCCAATAAGGAGTGAACGACGGCCAAAAAGAGCTAATTGTGATATGGAGAGACGCGAGCGTGCAAAGCACGGAGTCTGTCACTCGCGCAAAAGTGGGATGAGCTTGTGACGCATACCATTTCAGTGCCCAACACGGGATGGGTGCGACACGATCTCGACCCGACACCAAGTGACTGTGGTCAGGCCACATGTCGGTGCAGTTCTGACATAGCAGTACTGGTCGCGGCACCGTAACGGCATCCACCAGCCTGAACACGCACGTTTTGGATGGATGTCGGGAGAAAAACACCACTACAGCTCTATGTACAGACAACTCCACTGCAAGGCCGGTCATGACAAGACAGGGAGATCGCTGCCGGCGAGAAACGAACGAAAGACGTCCAACAGGGCCGAGCGCTGTATTCCAAGCATCCCACAGTCTGACAGCGTTCGTGACAGGGAATGTGACATGTGACAACGTGACATGGCTTTATCCGGCGATGACGCATTGAGGAGTAGATGCATTCATTGCAACAGAGCAGATGCCTTCCTTAATATCTGAAAGTGTAGAATAGTCTCTTCAGTACTGGAAATGCAGTATCTCTATATAACAAGAAAAACTGAAGAGTATGGTTAGAACACAGGCCTGCATCTCACCAATCGGAGGGATATGGATACATTCACGGTATCAACACACTTTAACGTAGAAAACGGACGGCCATTTGGACAATTGGAGGCCGGCGTGTTCAATCGATCAAGCTAACTCTGGCATAACGATCTACCAGTTATGGAGCGTTTGGTGAAGAATATCGCTAACCAGTGTCTCTGGTTAGCGAGGTGCTACATATTCTACCTTTCTTCACATTCTATTCCCGTAACTAAGGGTTCGCCAAATGTACTAGCTGCAATCGGAAATGAGGTGCGATCGCGTGCCAGGGAAATAATGTGGTTATTGGCCAATGACAAGCAAGTACGACATCATACGATGAGCGAATAAACCAATCACACACAGCGAGATCGCGTTTCGATCCGGGAACTCTCTGATGCAACAGACGGCTGGTGAGGCACAGAGGGCTTCTTTTTAAAGGAAGCGTCATATCACACTAAGGATGGTATGCATAGTTTAGGTTCCGACGGAACAGATGGCGCATGGTGGATGATCTGCTACCCAGGAGGGTTAGATACCTCCTACTGCCTATATCCTGTCCTAAGACTTTCGAGCATTCTAGAGATTGTATGCCTGACGACATGTGGAGGTTGGAGAAAATTACGGGGATGGTACTGCTGTGAAACAGATATTGTTACACCTTGGATAATTATGACCACCACTTGTAGACATTGTACAATATACCGGTCGAGCTTCATTTGGTTAAACTAAGCCCATTCCTGTAGACGTATGCTACCCTTGTACGGTGTGTGGGCATCCCTGAAAATGGAACAAGTGATTCCGAAACGTCAGGCCAGTTGATAGACGTCAAACATCGGCGAGTTACTTTTAATTCTAGGTGATCAACAGAAGGC